TGTCATTTTTTCTTTTAATAAATTAAGCCTGGACTCTGGGTGTTATGTACTGAAGTTCTCACCCTGGGCCAGCAGGGGGATACTGCAGATAGTTATGCAAATGAAGGATCGAAAAGTGACGTTCAGTGATTGGATAGTTTTGTATGCAAATGAAGGATCGAAAAGTGACGTTCAGGGATTGGATAGTTTTAGAAAATGGCAACAGTTACATTGTTCTGGAGCTCTATATAAGCAGGCTGACTGAGCCCCTCAGTTTAGTTCTTTTCTGACATCTGAATAAAGAAGAGCTGTTTGAAGAATCGCTGTGTCGTCTGCTATGTTCGCCCACAACGTAACACTGGGCTTAAGTAATGAATTGGTGTATTTACTGCCACAAGCTACCTCTGTAATGCCGCTCAATCACTTCATGGTGGCAGCAGCCAAAGGCACTTGAGAAAGTGAGAACAGCAGACCAGCTGTAGTTTGCATCAGCCCTGGAGATGCTTGCTTGCTGCTGACAGCAGATTCTTCCACAGACCAAAATCTAGCAAATAACATGTGCAGTGCCACTGAGAGAATGATGGCTTCATTGCTCGTTTTGAACAGCTCTGCTGTGTCAAGCTGCCAGATTTGCAAGATGAAAAAAGCAGTACAATAATTTACAGCATTGTTTCCAGGAATAAAACACATTCATATGTGGCAACCCTAAAGGCAACTCTATGCAACTGCAGAAACATATAGTGGCAAATCTTTGCAGTCACAGTGGCCCTAAACAAACAGGCTTAATTTTAGGGTATTTATACTTTCCTATTTCTGCAGTGAACTGTGACTGGCATCTGTTTAAATGAGGTCAGATATTAATTTTTATTTATACAAATATTTATATGCAGTTATGCCATTAAAAAAAATCAAAGTGGTTTACAACAATGATATCTATATACAATAGAAATGTTATGTTTGGCACCACGGCTGACACTGCCACAATCATAGTAGCTAAATCACTGGAGCCAATCAATTTTACCCTCTAAGTGAGTGACCAACCTCCAGACCACATAGCATTGCTCCTCTGGGCAACTCCTGGAGGATGCAACAGAGACAACAAAGAATGATCTCTTCACTGCTCCCTCAGCCACACATTAGTCTGAGTGTGCTCCGTCGGCAATAATCCCAAAACTTCCAGCCCTATACTTGCTTCTCAATAGGCAAAGCAGGACTGGGGGCACATGTAAGGGGAAAGTGATGGGTTTGCCAGAGGGTGGTGCTGAGCCTTTCTCTCCTTGCAACAGCTCACCAGACATTTCCCCCCACTTGACTGAGAATTCCATGGTTATCACCCAACTTCTACTGCTGCCCTGGCCTCCTTTGTTTTAGAATCCACATTCACCTCCACTTATGTGGTTACAGGGAAACAAGAAGTGCGGGTTTCTTTTTGGGAATAATATCTGAAAAGCTACTTTTGGAGAGATGTGCAAGTTTCTGAATGCAGAATGAATTTGTGCATGTCCGTCATGCAAGTCCCACCAGCAGCTTGAAAATAGGAAGAGCAAGCGCCATGTGCTTTTTGTTCTCTGCAAGTGAATAGAGTCTGAAGGAGATTAATGCTCAAGAGAGTGGTGTTTATAACATGTGCCTGGAGATAGCAAATCAGAAGAATTTTCGGGGGAAAGTCTCCATGTAATTATGCAAAGAAAAGTTGAAAGTGGAAAAGTTGACAGCATTTCCCTTTCATCCAGCAAATAAAAACATCCTGGTACATACATGTAACAATTCAAAAAGTGCAACTAGAGCTAATGCTTACAAGGCCTAAATCAATTTTAAATTAACCTCAACTGGGGTCTGTTCTACTGTAATATCCAATCTACACAAGCACGAGAATCACAAATGTTACCACTTTTCTTGTTTTCCTTTGCGGACAAGAGAATCCCATCTTTGAATACTTCCCCAGGTCAAAAACACCTTGCGTCTGGTTATGGTGTGGTTAAGAGACACATTCTTAGCATACTTGCAAGGAATCAAGCCTTAAGGAAAATAACAATTAAGCAAAGGCTGCAACAGATATGAATCTAGTGCAGGATTCATAAAAGAGAAACGTTTTAAAAGACTTGGGAGGGGGAAGGAATCAAGTAGAGCTTTTAGTGCTTTGCTTCCTGCATGCCATAAATATTTCAGATGTACAGCGAAAGAAAGCAATAAAGATGTAGCCAGCCAATTCTAATGTGGCATTCGCACGCCACTGCTGCATCGGTGCAGTCTACCACATTCAACTGAACATTTGCCCAGGACATGGCAGAATCCTTAACAGTAAAAATGATGACTGAATACTGCAATAAGCAGGTGCAAATAAATACTTCATTCAGGTGTGTGCCCTCTTCTCCTGAAGCTCTCCTACACTGTGCAACAAAGATATTATTTGTCCAGGGTGGTATCTCCTGCACCTATAAGAAGGGGGGGGGGGCAATTACCTGAACCTGAATCTGGAAACGGCAGCTGGAGGTTTTCAGAAGGGGAGTTTTGGCCTTCCAGCCACTCAATACATTTTCCACTCCAGTGTTGCAGGCTGTTTTAATTGGTGAATTAAGGCAAAGATAAAGGTTTAGGGACCCCTGACTGTTAGGTCCAGTCGCGGACAACTCTGGGGTTGCGGCGCTCATCTCACTTTACTGGCCGAGGGAGCTGGCGTACAGCTTCCGGGTCATGTGGCCAGCATGACTAAGCCGCTTCTGGCAAACCAGAGCAGCGCACGGAAACACCGTTTACCTTCCCGCCGGAGCGGTACCTATTTATCAACTTACACTTTGACATGCTTTCGAACTGCTAGGTTGACAGGAGCAGGGACTGAGCAACAGGAGCTCACCCCATCGCGGGGATTCGAACTGCCAACCTTCCGATCGGCAAGCCCTAGGCTAAGTGGTTTAGACCACAGCGCCACCTGCGTCCCTGGTGAATTAAACCCAGCTGAAATATGGGTCAGGAATCAATGCTGGGAGATGAAGCAGCCCACCAAAGCAATAGAGAAGAGGACCTCCTAATCTGCATTATGTGCCTGCCTTGCAATGGGTGATTTCAACCAGGAGCTGGGAGTGGAGGGCTTGTGGACTCTAGCCTTTTTCTGTCCACACTCAAAATGTCCTGTTCTTCTTGGGAGCAGTCCAACATTCTTCCCTAGTAGAAACCAATCATCTGTCTGTAACCAAATCTTTCTGGTTCCAAGAGTCACATGTGGCTTCCATTCCAAGCCTCCTGGTTGAAAGCTTCCATTATAGCTCATGCTGTTCTAGAATGGCACGTGCTTCTGGTCACTCTGTGCTCAAATATGGTTCCTGCCATCAGATCTTGCCTTGCTGCAGCCTTGTGAAAAGCCATTCTTGATGACTGGGAGGACCCACAGAATGGCATGGAACGTGGAAAGAGGAGGAGGAGTTGCTGCAGGAATGGATAAATTATCATGTGCACTTTTACCACCTTGCATCAGCCAAAGTGCCTTCACTTGCAAAACAGCAGTTGTTGATTCAAGGCTGCAGACCAGGGCTTGATCTATACTGATTAAAAAAACACTATAGGAGGGGAAAAAACTATAAAAGCCCTCAATGCAAAATCCCACTGGCGACAGATCACTGCTCTACAGTGCCATCTGGTGTCACATGTTTATAAAGCAGTTATAACAGTATAATTGACTAGTGTAGATGAGTCCCAGGTGTGAGGAACTAGAAACCTGTGACCCAAATTCAAACTGCAGCCTTCCAGACCTCTGTATGGCACATCACATGTTGGTTTCACTAGATCAGGGGTGGGAAACCTTTGGTTCTCCTGACATGGGTGGACTCCAGCAGTCAACACCTGCCCTGCCCTGCCCTGCCCTGCCCTGTCCACCCACAACAGTTCAGGATGATAAAAGCTGCTATTATTGGCATCTGTCTGTCTCAAGAGACAATGGAGTGATGTTATCACCTTCAGCATTGCTCCACTCCCACTCCAATTTATTGGCTAAAGCTTGCTGAGTGAGTGGGGGAATGCTGAATGCAACCAAGTCACATCATGGGATAGCTCAGTTGGTAGAGTAGAGAACATGGGATTCTTAATCTCTGGCTCGTGAGTTTGAGCCCCACGTTGGGCAAAAGATTCCTGCATTGCAGGGATTGGACTAGATGTCCCTCCTGGTCCCTTCCAGCTCTACAATTCTATGATTCTATGGGTTCCTTTTACTAGTATGGTGCTGGAGGAGACTCTTGAGAGTCCCATGGACTGCAGGAAGATCAAACCTATCCATTCTTAAGGAAATCAGCCCTGAGTGCTCACTGGAAGGACAGATCCTGAAGCTGAGGCTCCAATACTTTGACCACCTCACGAGAAGAGAAGACCTCCTGGAAAAGACCCTGATGTTGGGAAAGATGGAGGGCAGAAGGAGAAGGGGACGACAGAGGACGAGATGGTTGGACGGTGTTCTCGAAGCTACGAACATGAGTCTGACCAAACTGCGGGAGGCAGTGGAAGACAGGGGAAGACAGGAGTGCCTGGCATGCTCTGGTCCATGGGGTCACGAAGAGTCGGACACAACTAAACAACAACAACAGGGTTACAAAGTCAGTGGGAGCCATGCGTCAGCCCTTCATGACATCCAGTGAAGTCCTCATTTCTCTGAAGAAAATACAGTGCATTCTCAACATATTTTTGATGGGGGATGGGAACATAGGTTGACAGCGCACTGATCCTATCCATACATTTGGGTGGACAAAATACACTTGCTACAAAAGGTATAGCATGATCACAAGTTACTAATGTGATAGATGTCTAGAAGCTGCACTCCCATGCCCACTTTTGGGCTCTAAGCACATGTAAATTACAGAAGCAAGCTCTGGAAAATAATAAGGAACTGCCTGATTCAACACACCTGAAACAGCCTTCTTCATGCACAGCCTACATGGTTGCAGATGTGTGTCAATATCTGCATCTATATTTCAATACTTATCTGGGCCTCACTAAATAATAATTATTATTATTTACCCGCCCATCTGGCTGGGTCCCCCCAGCCACTCTGGGCGGCTTCCAACAAAACACTAAAATACAGGTTAGATTTGTCTTTTGATATGTTGCTAAGTGAGATTAGTTGTATGGAACTAGAGTCAAACCTGGGCCTACAGCTTCAAACAGATGAAGTAGCAGAGAGCCTTCTGCACACACTAAGTATTTTTGAGAAATGTGCTTTGGTGCCATTCCTTCAAGATAATCCTGCCCATTGTAATCAGATTCCCCTTAAGTGAGTAGGATACGGGGCTATCTATCTACTTTTACCGTAGGGGCTAGCCAATGGCAAGGGAAAAGGTATTTAATGGTTTCGCCTCCTAAAATACAGTGGTTCTGCTGCTTACTTTGCATATGCAATCACAACCTTATGCAAATTTGGGGGGCAGCACATAAATAAATACATACATATATACCGTATTTTTCGCTCTATAGGACGCACTTTTCCCCCTTCAAAAATTAAGGGGAATTGTGTGTGCGTCCTATGGAGCAAATGCAGGCTCCTTGGCTTCAGTGATAGCAACGCAAAGCCTCCGAAGCTCAGAGGGAGCTCCGCGCTCCAGAGGCTTCGCGTTGCTTTTGCTGAAGCCTGGAGAGCGAGAGGGGTCGGTGCGTTGAAGCCAGGAGAGCAAGACTCTCCTGGCTTCAGCAGAGAGGGAGAGCTGCACAGCACCCCTTCAGCGAAGTGGGAGGAGAAATGGAAGGGGCTCTGTTTCTCCTGCCACTTCGCTGAAGGGGTGCTGAGCAGAGAGGAGGAGATTTTTTCCCCCCTTGTTTTCCCCCTCTAAAACAAGGTGCGTCCTATGGTCGGTTGCGTCCTATAGAGCGAAAAATACGGTAAATAAATATCAAGGAAGCCCCTCCATACCCTGCTTTCCATTTCTTTATTCTCTCCACTCCCCCACCACACACCCAGTGGGTGTTCCTTGCTTACAGGGCTCTGGGAGTATCCCAAGGAGCCTGCCACTTCGTGGGGGAGGGGCGCACGGTTCTGACATTGCAGAATTTTGCTTTTGCATGCGGATGCCCAGAATCAAACCCTTGTATAATTGGCGGGCCCTCTGAAGACCTGTTAGCAGGTCCATATTTGCAGTCAGGGTGGCCCACCCTTCTCCCAAGGAGACTCACTAGAGACAGTGAACATAGGAACACAACCGTGCCTTGCTGGATCCGACTGAGGGTCTATCCAGTCCAATATCCTATTTCCGAAAGCAATCTTCCTGTGCCTTCTGGTGCTCATGAGCAGAGGGTGGTCTACACCATTTTGTTTTATTTTTTGTCCTTGGTACCTGGAATTCAATGGCTCCATTTAACTAGCATGCCTCATCCTTCCTTGATGGCACCTCTCGTGTTGCGGAAGTCGCCAAAAACTTGTGGTACTGAATCCTTTCAGGTACGTGCAATCACTTATGTCGTGGGAGGGGAGATTGTCAATAAAGATAGGTAGCAAGCTAATTTTAAATCTCTTCTGCAATCAGTCAATACATATTGGGAAACTTGCAAGCCTCTTTCCTCTTACTTTGCCACAACCTTAAATTAAAACAGGTCTCAGAGCCTCTGGGTTGCATAGTATCAAGCCTTCTCAGATCATTAAGCAGAGTGAGATGGTCTGCCTCAGGCAAAGGGTCCAGAGGGGCAGCCGATCCCAAAGTAGATATTAATTTTACCCCCCTTCCTGTTGTTCTTTTTTGGGGGGTGCCATTTTGTGGTTCACCTCAGGTGCCAACATGTCCTGGGCCAGTCCTGTGGGTGAGTATCCTTTGGGTTTTCTGATTCAGGTCCCCAGATGCCTTGGGCCATTTCTGCTAGGATGCTAACTGCATTGCACTCAGGAGGACTTACTTCCAAGTAAACACATTGCAATAAACAGAAACCAGGCATCCAATCTTGCTGTTCGTTATTGCTCCACATATAAGGCATTGCAGGGAATCAAATTAAAAGGCAGCAACTTTGGACCTGAGAAAATTAATTCACCTATGCACACACACACACCCTTGTTTTGGCACACGCATTTGCTCTATATTAAAACCAAGATAATGAGATAGCAAGGTATAAAAATGTGATTTACGTCATGCGCTTCTGTAGTAGGCCAGTTACAGCCCAACATTACATAGCATCCATTTGTTAGGAGTCAGAAAAAACAATGCTCATTGCATGAACTTGGTTTTTTTTGGGGGGGGGGACAGGTGAAATCTGGGAGGAAAAACAACCCATCCCTTAAATGCGGTGGGGGGGGGGAGAGAATGCGTGACCCCTCCCTTCCTTCTCAGCCCCTCTCCACCCAGCTCAGCCGTGGCCCTTACCTGATTTGGGATAGGTAACAATCCAGACATCATTGTCCCTGACGGGGAAATTGGCGATTTCTTCCATCTTCCCCCTGCAGAAAGGGGGCAGGCGCACCCCATTGTACTCGAAGTATTTGCTCTCAAACTCCCCGGGCGTGCTGGGGGTCTCGCACTCGCTCTCCGCCATCCTCGCTCCTCCCTGCAGCCCAGCCGAGGCCAAGGCGCATCAAGGATGCTCCAGCCGCCCCGCGCTCCCTGCCCCTCGCTCTCTCTCGCCCCCGAAGCGGGCACGCCCGACGAGGAAGCCCGGCTCGAGCCCTGCAGGCTGGGGAGAAGGGCAGGCGGGAGGCGGCCGAGAGAGAGACCGAGAGAGAGAGAGACCGGCCTTCAGCGAATGGGCTATGGAGGTGGTGATGTAATGCAGGACCGCTCGCTAGGCAGGCAAGAATGGATCCTGCAACAACAAGACGGAGAGGCAAGCCTGCTCGGGGATTAACCCTCTGCCTGCCTCGCAGCTCTCAGGGTGCCACTACTCTGCAAACTCCCCTTTTCCTCTTCTGAGGGCTGGAAATTCCTGTTTTTATTTATACTTATCAAAAGATATAGAAAAGTTCATACCCAGGACAATATATCTTTCTGTAATACACCAGATTAAAGGAAATACTTTAAAAATCTAATCTAAAGAGGAACAGGAGCGAAGAGAAGAAGAAAAGAGAAAGAAAGAGAAGAGAATGGAAAAAGACTTCTGGTTCTCTCTCAGTTGAATATAGTATTCACTCCTTAACATCCAGTGATTCCATTTTCTACAAGCCAATATTTGTTCAGTCTTCAAATCCAAATAATTTGCAAACTTCCCAAAACGTTATAAGAAACTGGCGCAACCATTGTTCCCATTAAATTGGGGGGCGTGTGCGATTTCTTACAAATCCAAGATTGTATGCTCCTTGGGGCAGAACCTTTCTCTTTCCCCCCATTCCCGCCCCCCACTATTTAGTTTGGGGAGTGTTTTGATGTTGCATGCATATGCATAGAATCCTAAACTGAACCCGGAATCCAGTTTTCTTGCATTGGTTTGCAAAGTGCCGCCACGTAACAAAAAATGGTGCGGCAATAAAACTGCTACAATATTTGCAAAGCTAAGCAGGGTGTGGTATGGTTTCAAATTGGATGGGCATGTGGAAAAGATGTGTTGAAATTCCTGTATTAGGTAAAAGTAAATAGGTAAGGGACCCCTGGACGGTTAAGTCCAGACAAAGGCGACTATGGGGTGCGGTGCTCATCTCGCTTCAGGCCGAGGGAGCCGGCGTTTGTCCACAGACGGCTTTCCAAGTCATGTGGCCAGCAGGACTAAACCGCTTCTGGTGCAACAGAACATCGTGACGAGTGCCAGAGTGCACGGAAACACCGTTTACCTTCCCACCACAGTGGTACCTATTTATCTACTTGCACTGGTCTGCTTTTGAACTGCTAGGTTGGCAGAAACTTGGGACAGAGCAACGGGAACTCACACTGTTGTGCAGATTCAAACTGCTAACCTTCCAATCGGCAAGCCTAAGAGGCTTTTCTGCATTACGAGGGGTTGGACTAGATGACCCTCGGGGTCCTTCCAATCCAACAAATCTATGATAAATTTAGGTTTGCAGAATTGAATTTCTTTTTTTTAAATAAGTTTTTATTGTTAAAATAGTTCATCATTAATACACATATACAAGCATACAAACATACATTTCATACAATCCTTAAAAGTGTTCAAACATACTTACACTCAATCCCACAAATAATTCCTTTCCCCATCACCATCCACCACCCC